AATGCTCATCATCACTGGCCATCAGAGAAATGCAAATCAAAACCAATGTTTCTTTATTGATTTTCTGTTTGGATGTTGAAAGTGGGGTGTTGAAGTACTCCACTATTTTTACATTGCTGCCTATTTTTCCCTTTAAGCCTGTTAATATTTACTTTACATATTTAGGTGCTACAATGCTGGGTGCATATATATATATATATATATGTTTATGCTCTTCCTGAATCACCACTTTATCATTATATAATAACTTTTTTGTCTTTTGTGGCAGATTTTGACTGAATTCCTATTTTTTCTAATATAAGTATAGCCACCTTGCTCTTTTTTAGTTACCTCTTTCAGAAAGTGTTTTTTCTGTCTTTTAACTTTCAGCCTATAAATGTCCTGAAAGCTAAATTGAATATCTTGTAGGAAGCACATTGTTCAGCTTTTTAAAAATATATTCAGCTATCCTGTGCCTTTTGATTGGATAATCTACCTATTTACATTTGAAGTCATTAATTAAAGAACTTACTGCTGACATTTTGTTTTCTGACCATTTTGTGGTTTCTTTGTTCCAATATTTCTCTTGTGTGGTCTTACTTTGTGACTTCCTTATATTTTTAGCGGTATGCTTTGATTCATTTCTCTGTTCTGAGTACCAGAGGGTTTTTGTTTGTGATTACCAGGAGGACGATATACAATATTTGCTGTAATAGCAGTCTATTTTAGCTGATAACAACGTAAGTTCAATCACATACAAAACTTCATACTTTTGTTTCTCTCCTCACACACATTTCATGCTATTTGTGTCATACTTTATACCTTTTATATTGCGTATCTATTAATAAATTAATGTAGCTATAGTTATTTTTAATCCTTTTGTATTTTTACTCTTATACTAGAGTTAAATGTGATTTCTGCATCACCATTACACTATTACAGTATTCTGAACTTGAATATGTATTTAGCTTTATTTATAAGCCTTACGCTTTTACATGTTGTTAAACAACAGGTTTTCATGTTGTCACTTAATATTCTTTTGTTTTAATTTGTACAGCACCCTCTAGCATTTTTTTATAAGGCATGTTTAGTCGTGATGAAATCCCTTGGCTTTTGTTTGTTTGGGAATGTCTTTATATCTCCATTTCTGCAGGATTGTTTTGCCAGGTATAGTATTACTGGCTCTCAGGGGTTTTTTTTCTTTCAACGCTTTGAGTGTATTATCCTACTTCCTCTTGGTCTGCAAGGTTTATGCTGAAAAAAATCTACTCATAACTTTTTCAGGTACCATTGTATGTGATAAGTCACTTTTCTCTTGCTGCTTTCAAAAGTATTTTGGTATTTGACTCTTGACAATTTTATTATAATTTACCACAAAGTATTCTTTTTTGGATTTATCTTCGTTAGGTATGTTTTAGATTCATAAATCCAGATGTGCATATTCCTTTTAAAAGGTAGAAGGTTCTCAGTCATTATTTCTTTAAATAAGCTTTCTGACATTTTCTCTCTCTCCTCCTTCAGGGACTTAATGTATATGTTTGTTTGTTATAGACTTTTCATACGTCCTATATGCTTTCTTGACTCTTTTTCATTTATTTTTCTCTTTTTTTTCTCTAACTGGTTAACTTCAAGTGACCTTTTAGTTAACTGAATCTTCCTTCTGCATGATTGAGTGTGCTGTTGAAGTTCTTAATTGGATGTTTTCAATTCTATTATTGTATTTTTTATCTCTAGCATTCTAGCTTTTTATGGTTTCTATTTCTTTATTAAACTTCTTATTTTGTTCTTTTTTTTTTCCTAATTGTGTTTAATTTTCTGTGTTCTCTTGCATCTCATTGAGCATCTTTAAGATGATTATTTTGAATTCTTTGGCAGGTAATTCATAGATCTCCATTTCTTTGGGGGATAGTTACTGGGGCTGTGTTGATTTCCTTTAGTGGTGTTATATTGCCTGATTCTTCATGATCTGCATAGCTTTACATGGATGTCTGTGTATTTGAAGGAAGAAACAAACAGCTCTTCAGTTTTTACAGACTGGTTTTGGCAGGTAAAGATCTTCTATTATTAGGTCCCTCGGACTTAGGAGATTGCCTTCAGGATCACAGTTGAGTGGTGTTAGAGCCAGGTCATATGGCTGCTGCTGGATCCACAGTGTAATCCATGATCACCAGGCCTGTTATTAGTAGTTCAGGTAGACATACATGAATCCTGTCTGATACCTGGGTGGATAAAATTTCCTCCAGGACCTTAGTCAGTAGGGCTGATGTTGGGACAAGAGTCTATTTCATGGTCTGCCATTGGATCTCTAGATAGTGGAACTGTTACCAGATGTCTCTGGCTGGGTCCCTGGGTGAACAGGACTGCTCCCAGATAGCACCTAGGAGGGATCAGAGGCAAGACACAAAGCTGCTTTATAATCCGTGGTCAGACCAGTGTCAGCAGTTCTACCTCTGAAGTCACAGACAGTCATGTCTCCCAAATGATGCCACAGGCAAGACTGCTCCTGGACCATGCTTGAAGGGGCTGGAGTTGGATCATGCACCACTTCAGGGTCCATAGCCTGAACTGAAGTTGGCAAACCTGCTACCCAAGTCCCAGGTGCTTTTGGCTTTTCCTGTGTTTCTTAGCAGATGATTCTGGTGTTAGAATTAAGGCCAAATGAAGTTGTAGCTGAATTCACAGGGGTACATAGCTGTTTTTAGGTTTATAGTCAGAATCATGGTCAGTAAGCCTGACAGATGGGTGCATATCTGTCTTTTCAAAATGGCACTACTCAGTCTTGGGCTCCATCAGGATTTCACAACCTCCTACCTGGATGTCAAAGCTCCCACAAAGGCAATTTTGTCCATGGATAAATATTGTTGCTGTGGTGGGATATGAGTGAGGCGCATCCTATTTCACTGTTTTCCTGATATCACTCTTTCATTTGTTATTATTTATAGTTTCAGTTTTTCTGTAACATTTTTAAATTTTTTCTCTTTTAATTCATTAAACAGTTACACCATGGTTATTTTAAAGTCTGTGTCTATTTATTTCATTATCTCTATTTCTTACCAGTTACTTCTATATTCTTTTCTCTTGGTTTTTAATCATGTGAACTGCCTCCATGAATTACTTCATTTTTTATTGAAACTATAAATGAAATGTTATGAAAATGTAATGACGTTAACTCCTTCTAGGAAGGATGTACCTTCTGCAAGCATTTCTTTTACTGCTGTATAATCCTTTATTAAGGGTTACTCAAAAAAATTAGCAATTGGCTGTTCTAATTTAGCAATTATCCAGGACAAATAAGTGCTTGACTAACTTAATCGTGCAAATTAAAATTTGACATTTAAGGGTATTCTTTATTGATCTATTTAATAACTATATATTATAAAATATTTTAAAATCTATGCAGCTAGGAGAGCTAGTAATCATAGATCACTTAGATCCTTTTACAGAAATAAGGATGACTTGATCTGGGCTAAGGTTTTTTGAAGAGTTTTTCTACTTATTGTTCGATCTTTTTTCCAATGATGTAGGCTTTCAAATTCCAATCCAAAGGTGGGAAATTTACTAGTGCTATCCCTTCTTGATAAATTCTGCATACCAATATTTTCCCATAGTCCTACAAGTCTATCTAGGTTCTGCTCAGTTATTTCCCTCTAACCCTTTTTTTCTAGAATTGACAGGTATTTGTTGTTGGAATACTACTCCTAGTGTCAGGCTCACTTCTCTGAGTTTTTATCTATCCCTGAATCTGACTTCATAATTCCTCACTACCTGTTGACTCTATGTGCTTTCAAGCAATTTTGTGTTTATATTTTGTCCGTTTTTCTAGACATTCTAGATGATCTGCATTTTTTTGGCTGCTATTTCTAGAAGCTTTTCTCTATTACCATTTGCTAAAGGTTACTCAAAAGAAGTATAGTTTGCCTGTTTTAATTTAGTAATTACATAAAACAAACAGAAACAGTGACTGAACAATTTTATTTAACTCATTTTTGCAAAGAACTTATTTTAGGATACTTTCTATTATCTACTTAACATTTATTAAGGGCTTACTATGCACAAAGTACTGCTTCAAATCATGAGCATACAGTAATGAAAAGACACACAAGTTTCTTACCTCTTAGCACTTAGTCACTGGTGTAATATAAAAAACAAATCAATAAGAAACTATATAACTTCAGATTATCATAAATGGTATGAAGACAATAAACCACGAATTGTTATAGAAAAGTAAATTGCAATATAAAACTTAAACATTAAAAAGAATACCTTGTGCAGAGTGGTGGGATAATGGTGTCCAGGCATAGGTAACTAGATAAACAAATACCCTGAGGAAGAAAAAAAAGCTTCCTATATTAGCAGATCATGGCTAAACTATGATGTGTGAGCAAGGGATTAGTATAATTTGAAGTTGGAGAGGAGCACAGAGTCTGGATCATGTAGAACCTTGTAATCTATAGTAAGAACAACTCAGCTTTGTTCTATAACTTTTTAAAATAGAAGATCATATGAGTGATGGTGCTGTATTATAGGTGAGTTAGCTGCCATAATATTTCTTCCCATATTCTTACGAAAAAAAAAAAATGCTGTCAGCCCACTAAATTGGTAGGAGTGCCCTATACTGTCAAAACACTTCATAACTAGATTGTTTCTACTGACAATTTTACCTCTTAGAGAGTAGTGGAAGCAACTGGGGAAATTGCTACTCTGAACTTACTAACAAACAAAAGGGAAAAATTGGTTGGAAAAGTAAAAGTGATAAGAACCATGGGGACAGGAAATAATACTTTTTTAGAATTTAAAATCACAAGAAAAGAAAATCCTGAACACATTTAGACAGTCATTAAGTCTTTGAAGAAGATGATTTTTATTAATTTAAAAACAAAGTGAAAATGGACTCAGGACGTTAGAAACTAAGAAGGAAGATCGCAAGTGTTTCAGAATGTTCCACAAAATATAATTCTGCTTCTGTCATTATGGAAGACATTTTGATGATACAGGACATGGGGGGAAAAAAAAGGCTAATATAGCCACAAAGGATGCTTTTAAATCAAGTAATACCCTTGACTTAAAAAGACAAGCCAGTGGCAATTATAAATTAATGACATCTAAGAATGTTTTCAAGAAGTCTGGTTCATAGTGCATTCAAACTTACAAAAATATTAAAGACATCTAAAACAAATTTTGCTCATTTTTGGAGAAAAAAAAAACTACCAAAGAAGGAGCAGCTTGAGGGAATATTAATGGATTATGAGAAAAAAATGAAACTGAACTATTTTGCATTATCCTACAAGATGAATGATTACAGCATAGAATAGACTGACCAGATAGGAGTTGAAAGCCAGATCATAAGATATTTGAAGAGACACAGTAACATCTCAAAATGAGGCCAATTTTCTTAGATTAGGTGAATTACCCCTGGAGTGTTAAAATAACTTGCAAATGAATTTGCTGAAGAATATGTGATGGGCATTCATCTTTCAGAAATCCTAGTGAGTAGAGATGAGCTGGTGAAAGCCTAGAGAGAATCTAATGTCTTTCTAATATTCGAAAGAGCAGAGAACAAAGTGAAAAATCCTGAAGACCGTTCTTATCTGAATAACACTTTCAGAACTGATTATAATGGTATAGTTTATGAACTTCACAAAATGAAGCTGTTTTCATTAGGAAACAGTAAGTTTACTAATGGCAAGTTACATATTCTAATGCATTTTTCCTTCTCTCCATTGCTTTCGATGCTCCAACCACAGAGATCTCCCTTGCATCGAAAAACCTGGTATACATGCTGGGTATCCCTTATCCAAGATACTTGGACACAGAAAATTTTCAGATTTTGGAATATTTGCATATGTATAATGAGATATCATGTGATCGGACCCAAGTCTAAACACAAGAATTCATTTATGTTTCATATGCACCTTGTCCACTAGATTTAAGGTAACTTAATGCAATATTTTTAATAATGATTTTGTTCATGAAACAAATTTTTGACTGCATTTTGACTGTGATCCATCACATGTGGTCAGGTGTGGTATTTTCTATTTGTGGCATCATGTTGACGTTCAAAAAGCTTCAGATTTTGGAGCATTTAAAATTTAGAATTTTCAGATTAGGAATTCTCAATCTGTAATAGAAATGCAGTAAATTTTGTTGAACAGATTACTCAGTTTTCTCTGATGTGACATCCTCCAGTGGAGTTTTCCACACAGGGCCTCTGCACATACTCTTCCATCTGCCTGTAATGTTCTCACTCTCCTGATTGACACTCTCTTAAACCAAAATTTCTCTGACTCCGGGTCAGGGAAATTTTGGTCATAAACTCTTTGTAGGGCAGTTTTTGAGTGTAGGCCATCTCTTTTATAGATACTCTAAGAAAAGCTAGAGAAATATAAATTGGTTATGGGTTCAGTTAAGTTGAATAGCAACCTTGGATTAAATGACTATATCCAAGAGATAGAGATCAAATAGTCTGGAGACAGTGCATGTTATATGCTGTCACTTCACATGATAAAGCAGTGATTAATTTTCTTTGGCCAAAGCTGGTACAATTTGAACAACAAAATAAATAAGAAAGTATTCATATGAGTAGTTTTAAGCACTTCCTGACCTTCTGGTACTACAAGATGCTCCAGGCAAGTATGACTTTTATACTTGCCAAAAATGTAAAAGTCAAGGCCTCATTCTCAGTTGTTTGGGTTCAGGTGGTTCTCTGTACTCTCTCCATAGGGAAACTTTCCAAGAATTTTGTGGTTTCCTGCAGGATTTCTCACTGTAATGTCATAAGGACATTCTCTCTCCCATTGATCTTTTTCCCTTAGGCATATTCAATTACCAACTAAATTAATAAGAGCCTGTCTTGGTAGACTTCCTATTTTAGGCTATAAATTACATATAAGATAGATTTACAGATCAAATAAAACATTTTACTGTGGGGGAAAAATTTACTTCCACAAATGTGTTCTAAATAAGCTTTTTTTTAGTTTAGAATAGTTTTAAATATACAGAAAAATGGAGAAAGTAGTACAAATAGTTTTCATATACCCATTCCCAGTTTCCACTATTAGTAACATCATGCATTATTATGGTGCATTTGTCACAATTAATGAACTGATATTGATTATTATTTTTCATTGAAGTCCATATTTTATTTGTATTCCTTAGTTTTTTCCTAATATCCTAATATCCTTCTTCTGTTCTGGGATCTCACCCAGGAAACCATATATTAATAATATTTAGTTGTCATGTCCACTTAGGTTCCTCTTGACTACTACTTTTTTCAGGCTTTCCTTATTTTTAATGACTTTGATGGTTTTGAGGAGTATTGGTTAGGTATTTTGTAAAATGTCCCTCAATTGAAATTTTTCTAATTTTTTCCTCATGACTGGGTTTGAGTTATATAATTTGAGAAAGAAGAACACAGAGATAATTTGCTATTTCCATTCCATGATAACAATGGTACATACAATCAGCATGTCTTGTCTCTGTTAACTTTGGTCACACAGCTGAGGTGGAGTTTGTCAGAGTTTTATCAGTGTAAACTTATTCCCCACTGCCTTATACTATGTTCTTTGGAAATCGCTGTGCACAGCTCACACTCAAAAAGTGGGGAATTATTCTCCAATTTCTTAAAGCCAGAGTACCTACATAAATTACTTGAAATTATTCTGCTTGGAAGATTTGTCTATGATCTCCATTTATTTATTTATTTAAATATTTATTTATGTCCCTATTTACTCATGGGTATTTATTTCGTAGTTTGGGTTATAATCTAATACTGTCTTTTTATTTTGTTGCTCACATTACTCCAGCTTTAGCAATTATGAGCTACATGCATCATTATGGGTTTTTTGTTTGTTCGTTTTGGGGATTTTTTTTAAGTATTTCTTTACTTTCTGCTACTATGTGATGCTCCAGGCTCATCTTGAATATTTCCTGCCTTGTGCTGGAATCAGTCATTCCCTCCCATGGAGGCCTGGCTTCTTTTATTCAAGAATGGTATTCAAAACCAAGATCTGGATATGCTCATTGTGACTTTAGTGTCATTGTTTTTAGGCTCCCTCGACTGACAGAATGAGGACATAGATGTATGTACACTAACCCATATATATACACATAGCGTAATCATTCCTGTATGTAACCATCTGTATCTATATTAAGCCAAACATGCGTTCATACTGAGGTCTCCAACTCTAATTCATATGGATCATTCTAGCCCCTTTTCCTCGATTACCTCAAAATCCATCTGAAAGAAACCTGGCTCCCACTATTCACCATTCAAATTACTTAAGTTCCTTGTTCAATTCCAGTATACATGTATGATTGTTTCAGAATTGTTCATTAATACACCTGGGAAGCAATATTATCCCTACATCACAGCATAATGTTTATGTAAAGTCCATGTTGCCTTTCGTCCTATAGACTCCACTCTTCCAAAGTTACTGAGGTCAACAGGTTTTTCTCACATGCTCTTCAGTGAGATTGCCTCATACATTGGTAATACAGATAGATTTTGGAGGGGGGTCACATTCTGCATTCCATTCTGGGATCCTTTATACTCCTAAATATTTTTGCATGCAATAATTTTTAATCTTTATCTTAGGTTTTGGGTTTGACAGATACATAGTGTTATGTATTTACCATTGCAGCATCACACATAATAATTTCCTGGTCCTAAAAGAATCTCTTGCTTTTATTTAACCTTTCCCTTCCCCAAAAACCTTTGGAAACCATTGATCTGTTTGCCATCCCTCTAGCTGTGTCTTTCTCAGAATGTTATATAATTTGAATCATAAAATATGGAGCATTTTCAGACTGGCTTCTTTCACTTAGCCATATGCCCTCAAGATTCATCTGTGTCTTCACCTGGCTATATATCTCACTCTTTTTAATCACTAAATAGTATTCAATTGTATGATTGTACCAAGGTTTGTTTTTCTATTCATTTGTTGAATGATATCTTGATTACTTCCAATTTTGGTGGTTTATGAATAAGGCTGCTGTAACCATTCATGTGCAAGTGGTTTTGTGGCCATAATTTTTTCAACTAAGATGGGTCAATATCTAGGAGCACAATTGCTAGATCATACAGTATGGCCATGTTTAGCTTTCTAAAGAGCTGCCAGTCTTACAAAATAGCTGTACCATTTTGTATATTCACTAGTAATAAATAAGTTGCTCAGCATCTTTGCCAGAATGAGGTGTTGTCAGTTTCCTGGATTTTTTTATCCTCCTAATAGATTTTAAGTGGTATCTCATTGTTATTTTAATTTGTGTTTCCTTAATGATAAATGATGTTGAGCAAATTTTTCATATGCTTGTTGCCATTTCCTTTGATAATATTTCTGTTCATATTTTTTGCCCATTTTTAATTGATTGCTGATTTTGTTGTTATTGAATTCTAACAAGTCATTTGTTTTATTTTATTGTATGTGTTTATTCCTTTTTTTGAGATGAAGTCTCGCTCTGTTGCCCAGACTGGAGTGCAGTAGCGCAATCTCAGCTCATTACAGCCTCCACCTCCAGGGTTCAAGCAATTCTCCTTCCTCAGTCTCCTGAGTACCTGGGATTATAGTCATGGGCCACCATGCCCAGCTACAAGTCTTTTATTAGACTTGTATTGTGAAAATATTTTCTTTTAGTATTTGGCTTACCAAAGACACTGCTTAGCAGTGTCCTTCATAGAGAAGAAAGTTTTAATTTACTAAAGTTTACTAGTTTTTCCCTTCTTGGATTGTGCTTTGAGTGTTGTATTGAAAAACTAATCACCAAACCCAAGTTCATGTAGATTTTTCTTCTGTGTTTTTTTCTCGGAGCTTTATAGTTTTGCATTTTACATTTAGAGCTATGATCCAGCTTGAGTTAATTTTTGTGAAAAGGTTTAGGTCTGTGTCTGTGTTCAATTTTTGGACTTTCTGTTGTTGTTCCAGCACATGTTATTAGGTATACACACACTTAGGATCGCTATATATCCTGGGAGAATTATCCCTGTTATTATTAGGGAACACCCTTTTCTAACCTCATAATCTTCGTTACTTTGAAGTCTGCTTGGTCTCAAATTAATGTAAGTTACTTCTATTTTCCTGTGATTAGTATTGGTGTGGTATGCCTGTCTTCATCTCTTTGCATTTAACCTGTCTCACTCTATTTTTAAAGTAGTTTTCTTGCACACTATATATTTAGGTCTTGTTTTGTAAATCACTCTGAAAATCCCTATCTTTCAAGTAGTTTATTTAGACTACTCATATTTAAAGTGATTACATATATAATTGGATTGATATTTGTAACTATTTTCTATATGGGAAATTTATTCTTTGTTTCCTCCTCATTTTTCAACTTTCTCTGGTTTAATTGAGCTTTTTATAGAATGCCATTTTCTTTCCTTAGAATTATAGTTATTTTTAAAGCTCT